AAGCACCAGTAAACAGAACCACATGTCGAAGTTGAAAAGGAAGAGAAACGTCGCGAATGGTTTGGACGAAAGACGGACAAATTTCTAAATTGCCCACTTTCCCCGAGTACAACCGAAAAGAAAAAAAAATGTTTCCATCTTTTGCAGTGGTTTGCAAGAAATTGTTTAGAATAAGCACCCTTCAGGGGAACCTCTTCACCGATATTGTGGATGCACACACTCATATGTACGGATGGTTTACGCTTGCAAGGGTGCATATTGTGCAGGCGAGGTGCATATGTGTGCGCGCTCATGTGAATAAGTGATCGTACGCAGCGGCGCCGCCTGTGACGAAAAGAAACGCCGTACCTCTAGTGCTTTGGAAAGGCATCCACTGCAGCGGCTGCACACACCGAACCGTACAAAAACATGCTGAACCAAAATTTTGGGTGGAAATTCTTGACCGCAATGGCATACATAGCATGTCCTTTTCTTCTAAATGACGTTGTTTTGAGTGAGAAGGCGTATAAAATTGAATAAACACGAAAAATACAATTTTACGCAACCCCTGGTGAGCGTCGTGGAAAGCTCGCCTCGTGACGTGCGCATTCTCATTCGCCTCAAGAGACAGACGGAGCCAAGCCAAGCCAGGCGCTAAGCCGGGTGGCGTTTGTTATTGTTAGTATCAGCCGCTTTGAGAACAGCCACCGAGCGAAGAATCAAGGCCAACGAACGAGGAGAATGCGCGGAGGCACCAGGGGCGCTGGGGGCGCCAAGAATGCGCACGTCAGTTTTGTTACGCCTGCTCTCAGAAGGACTCGCTCGCTCGGCCGAGGATTCGCTCTTAATTCAAAGAAATACAATAATTCGGGCCCCATCCGTCTGATTGAATATCGTTTTTAGGTACAGTACCATCCCGTGAAGCCCGCTCGAGCAATAATTATGAGATTTCAAATATCGGTTCAGCATCCCTTTCAGCATTTGAGTCTGCCCTACTATGGTTCCTCTCACAACCCCCAAACTTCCAAAACACACTGCTGCTAAAAAAATGAAAAAAGTAATGGCTGGCTTGGCCCATTTCGGCCCGCCTTGTAGACTTGAATGTAAGGCCCGTACCCGGCCCGGGCCCTTCATGAAAGTAGCCAAGAAACCTGAGCCCGGCCCACAAGCTGGGCAGACCCGTACCTGTGCAGCTCTCTACCCTACAGGGGCAGCTGATTTGATGTAATGCAAGTCATATATAAGTAGAGCACACCACAATTACAAGGCGATGCTGATGCTACAAAATATAACTGAAATCAAAATAGCTACACAGCGCGACCCTGTTAGCACGAACAACGGATCGGTAGGTTTTTTTTTGTTTTTCCTCTTAGAACTGAAAAGTTGTATGTAGTCCAAACTACTAGTGCGGTGGAATTTGGGGCATAAACTTGGGACATGAAATTGGGTGCAGCCAATACAATTTCGAAGTAAAGTGAAAAGAGGTACCGATGCTGCGTTTGCATTTTTACAGTGTGGCATCGGTGTTGTGTTCACACTTACGACATGACGCAATGTGCATGTTCGCTCTAATTTAGGCCTCATCCAAGGGGAAAACCACTCTTACTCGACAAAGCCATCTTTGCTGAATGGCTCATACAGGGGGTCGTCGTCGTCCTTCTCTTCCTCCTCCTCTTCCTCTTCGTCGTCATCCTCCTCCTCCTCGTGTGAATGACTTGGGACTGGGCTAGTGGCAGGTGCCAGGACTGTCCCTTGTGGTGGCACTTGAGGGGCAGTGGTGGTGGCCGTGGTGGTTGTGGGGAAGGAGGCAGATACAGCAGCAGTGGTGGTGGTGGTACTGATGCTGGCAGTGGCGCTGCAACTGCCAGGTAGCTCCAAAGCTTCTGTCTGAACGTGGTGGCTAGTGACGCCTCTGGCATAGGAGTTTGCCTGCGTGCCTAAAGGGAGAAGAGATGTTCACATATCCGGTTCCTCATATGCTCGGCTCAGTACAAGCTTCTGCAAAATGACATTCTGGCACGCACTACATTTTGTACATCTGATATTACAATTAACAGCAATCTAGATCTAGAAAGTAAAATACAACGAAAAAAACAAATAAGACGAAGATTAACCAGGGCTGTGAGTCTGTATCGAATGTATTTTACGATGTGACGCCGAGCACGATGTGACGCCGAGCACGCCGAGCACGAGGGGTCTTTTTCATCCCTACCGACTGATCTTTTTCCCAGCCTTGGATCCGTTCCCACAGAACTGTCTTTCAAAACAGCCGGGGTCGGAACCTGCGGCTTCTCTTGCGGGTCGGCCTGAACCGCTGCATCGCTTGTCGTCGGTCGGTGACGGCAATGGCAGTCGTGCTCACAAGGTGCATTCCCTTCGAAGCCCAGCTCCTCAATCGGGTCATCGTCCTGCGCAATCGGAAAAGTTTCGTAAACCTCTGCTCTAAAGGTTCCGAATGCCCATGTCTACCGTTCACTGAAATAAGAGCGCCACTTACAAGAAGTTTTCGGCGTTTTGACGTTGGGTCCTCCATTGAAGGGATGTTACGCTTCACAGTGGGGGGAAGTCGAAGGGAAGGAACTGCGTCGGACTTGAGAAGAGCTCTCTTCACAGTCTGCCCGGCATCCCGAAGGACGCTTCCTATACGCCGGTAATCGCGGTCGCCGTCGAAGTGTTCGGAGCACACGCGCACCCCTGCCTGACCGGGATCCTCTCTATCGATGCGCCGACACCACTCAGCTCTGAGACGTTCCTCACCCGGCAAACGATGGAACTGGATGTTTTTGAATTTAATCATAGCAGCGGTTAGACACCGGTTGGGACAATGCGGAACACCGCACGCGCTCGGCATCGTCGATGTGATCGAGGCAACGTGGGTGCCGAAGTCGAACACGAGACACCAGAAAAAGATAGTGCGACCACGCCTGGAAGTCCACACGCGGACGGTTTTTGTGGAACTCGAGTAGATGGCGCCACTGAAACTCGAAAGACTACATTTTCTTTGATAATACTATACTTAGACGCGTTTATTTACACTGAAGTGGCAAAATTTATCAAAAGTAATCCTTATATTTCGCTCGTAATTGCACAACTTAAACTTATTTTGAAATCTTTTTCACAATTTTCACTAATTCTCCGCTGACAACAGTGGGTGTCATGCTACAGCGTGCTGCCGAACGACGTCACTCGGTGGTTCCTTCAGCTGCCGCTCGTGGCTGTAGAGGGGGGGTAGAACAACGATTTTCGCTGTGCGATTACGCGGCGAATTCACAACATTTCGAAGGAAAGAGATGTTTTCTCTATCCTCCGGGACACGATAAACAAGGTAAAAGTTACGAGAGACAAATTCTTTCAACCTGAAAATCATTGCACCGCCCCTTTAAAATGCCGACCTATGCTGGTAGGTAATCTGGGGGTCTTCAACGCACAGAAGAAGTCACATGAATGCACAAAGTAGTGAAGCAATACAACGTACCGTCAGTACAAAAAATAGAGGTTATTTACGAGGAAACGTATGAAAAGGTGCGAGGGTCAAGGAGGATGCATATTATTGCTGACGATCCTTACCGTGAGTCCAAGGAACAGGAGCAAGACGACTGCGACGATGATGAGAAAGTATGCCGACAGGAAGCAGATGGCGGCCACGAGCAGCACCATTGACAGGATGTTGGTCAGATTCATCGACAAGAGGAAGGGCACCTCCTTGTCTATAAGGTCGATGTCGCGGCTAAACTTGAAACAAACCAACACTCATCTCCAGGGTCCCGTCAGCCGGACTCATCGTCAGATCTCACCTACATGAAAGTAGAGTTACGTACGCGTCACATAGTACTGTTGAACGTCGATCATCCAGGCGACCGCCATTTTTATAGGTCGTGAAAGTTGCGAACATATACTGCATCACAAAGCAGTTAGAACACCAATAATTGATTATCACCTTAGTACCTTCACCAGTTTCTGCAATGAGATCACTCCAATAGGCACATGGTAAAGGTGGCAAAAACAAAAGGACGCCCTTTGTTATTGGCTACACGAGATACCAATGATTGAAATTCGGATGGATACGCGTGAAGTAGACGTGGTGCGATGGTTTTCGCCACAACATAAAAAAAGGGCCCGTGTGCACTTTCTTGCAAAACGTGGAAACAGCCAAGCACGAAGAACATTAGAAGGGTCCCAGCATTTGACGTAGCTCCAAATCCTTCCTTTATTTGCGTACTGTAGTTCAACACATTCTGTAGAAAACACGGCAAATTCCGCCAGTTAGTAAACGTTGTACCGTCTCCAACAGTTTGCTGAGGCAGTTTAGCGGCCGTGCAAAACTAGTGTTTGCCTTATGCATTTTAGTTTTAGAAGGAGTATAGAGAAAAGGTTAATTTATTCCTTCCCCCCAAGCAAAGTGGGCCTGCCTAAAGTGAACCCTTCAGAATTGCCCGAGACTGCATCGTTGAACGGGTCGTTCATACTGTTGTGGGTTGTGCATGATGGGGACGAACAGCTCATAGAACGCGGATGAAGACACAAATATGACAGAACACTGCTGTACTTGTAGCTGAAATTTAATAACCGGTAAGGCAAAATAAAAACAGAGTTAGTTAGATTTAAAGAAACCGATGTGTACAGATTCCCTAAAAAAAACACGTCGTTATTTTTTTTGCTTTTCATCTCCATCGTGGCCTGCTGTGTCCCGGTCTTTGTTAGCACGATCAGGCTATCGTCACTGAAAGGGTGAGAACGGCAGGGAGGAGTTTCAGTTGCCCCGCCTCCAGGGCGACCTTCTTACCTTCGACAACTCTTCGGCGTCTCGTTCAACTCGAGCGCGCGTGCGCAATCAAAGCACGGCAGAAGGCATGGAGCGCGTGCTGGAGGCCTAGCTTTTGAAAGAGACGCCCTGCCCTTCTCACTCTGTCAGCGATTATAGTGTACAATTTAAAAGTGCAGGTGGCGTTCAGGGTGCTTCACGGGAAATTATACGAGCAGGATGTCGTGAAAATGTTCTCGAAAACACGTATAACTTCGAGTCAGGCGTCGAGACAGACGGTTTTCGCCAGGGTCTCGGTCGCGCGGTAAGGCTCCACGTTCGCTCCCGGCCTCCTGTCTTCCAAGTAACCTCTTCGGGCTTCGACCACCAGACACGGAACGCGAATGCTGCCCAGACGCGAACATTTGTCGGCTGTGAAGTCTTCGCTAGGAGTTCCTAGCAAGCCGGCATTCAGACGTCGGCTGTTGGATTTTCCCTTCTGAGGGTCGTAGTTGGTCAGGTGCAGTTCGGATTTTACCTCCAGCTTCTTTAAAGCCTCCAGGATATACCTGCAAGGATGCCGCAGCGAAGAAGACAAGGTGTTATCAGCATTCGAATTTAGTCTCAGCATCCGGACTTAATAACCCCATTCAGATTGTCGTACAGAGTTTGAGTGATATATCAGATAAAACCTGGCCGACAAGGAACACAGAAATAGATGTAATAGACTAGTGGTTCAGAAATCGTGTACAGTTCCTCTCAAGAGTTTTCTTCTCCGAGTGTACGGGCTCATAAAGTGCTTTCCTTGCAGAATTACCCGCACCAAAAAGGCACTACGTCCGCTCCAGACAGATCAGATGTCCAAGGTCAGCACAAATTGCGCTGTTTTTTTCTATAGCATTTCCACCTTCATGCAAACCAAACTTTCCTGCTGCTGATGGCGGTATAAACCGATGCACAGACATCACAACATATTCAGCCACGAGGGCAACATGCATTATTAAATCTAATCATCTACTGGAACTAAGCTTAAATCTGTCCTTTATGCTGCAGGAAGTTCTTCTTTATTGTTTCAAGGGAAGCTACACGACCTTAAGAACTACTTCGCGCAAGTTCTCAAGAACCCCTTCACTACAAGCGTCCGCCGAGCAGTGACCCAGTCGTTCTCGAAGTTGATTTCGACAAAGACTACCCGATCACAGTTCGAATTATACTGTCAACGATAAAGAAACGCAAGAAGAATAAAAAGAAAATCGCTCACTCGAGGCCACCGTCGTCGCGCATCTGCCTGGTGCTGAAGTTGATGTGCCCTCCGGAGCCGCACAGCTCATTACTCTGGAAAGGCTTCGGATCCAGCGACACGATCACGCCGAACTCCTCGGCCACTCTGTGGAGGATGTAACGGGAGGTCCAGAGATGATCGGCAGCCTGGACCCCTGCTAGAGGTCCCACCTGGTACTCCCACTATGACCGCGTTAGCGCAGGCCAGAAGAAAAAAAAAGAACAAAACGAATAAGAACCATGTGTAGCGGCATACGAAGGCCTCGAAAGGGCCAATGGAAACAGCCTTCCGACTCCTCATGAAACAATAGAACTAGTGAACAAAAGGTAAGGGCGCAAACGTGCTGGTGGTGGTTAAACATTTCGACAAAAACCCCGAGACTGGGTCAAGAAGGGACGGAGAAACACAAAGTCAAAGTCTCTTGTGTTTCAAAATGGTGAGTTGGGCCAGTTGGTTGATAATGGAAAAAGACAAGCGCCGAAAGACCAGGACAAGGTAAGAAGACGACGACACAAGGCGCCTTGTGTCGTCGTCTTCTTACCTTGTCCTGGTCTTTCGGCGCTTGTCTTTTTCCATTTTTCTCTTGTGTTTGTCCGTCCCTTTTTGTCCCAGTCTCGGGGTTTTTGTCGAAATGTTTAACAATAGAACTGTTCGCTATGTCCAAACAGAGCCAAAGACTACGTCATACTGGCAGTCTGCAGACATTGTTTGAGGCGTGTCTCTTCCATGTATGGCGGTCCTATCAGACTGGTCATACAGAAACTATCGGGAGACATGTTCGAGGGATATACGGTGAGCAAGTCGTCTGCTTCTAGCGCACGAGTTGCGGTGGCATCAGGAAGACGCCGAGCCCTGATTGGCTCTGGTTGAAGGATAGTGGGTAGACACCGAAGCAAGCTGCTTTGAGGTCTGCTCACTATCCTTCAATCAGAGCCAATCAGAGCTCGGCGTTCTGACGTCACCAGAGCCTCTGCAGAAGAAGCAGACGAACTTGCGCTCCGCGTATGAAGCCAACATGCTTCGAACACCTCAGGCCCTTGACCGCAGATTATTCTGCCATCACGTCTGCAGTGAACGCGATGTCTTTTGTATGCTGCATGAGCGGTGTGACCGCGACTTAAAAGTTTGGATGGATGGATGCATCGTGGCTGTGCCCTCTGGATCAGGCGGTGACTTGCGCCACCTGGCAAGCAGATTCCATCATCCGGGTAGACAAGGCCAAGCGCTAAATTTAAGAAGTTACATCCTCTCTACTATTTATATTCATCGCCCTAATTTGGCTCGGGGTAGAGGCTGCGCTCCCCATCGCTATTTGGGAGTGAGCGCCATCTTCCAAAAACACTTTTTGCGCTTGTCACTGGAGGTCGCTTTTGTTAAAAAGAAATCCGGACGATGGCGCAAATTATTTTAAATAATAAAACAAACTAGGAAAAGCTTAGAGGAAGTGGGGTTAAAATCAAAGAATGGAGAGGAGCTGCGATCGAATTGGCTTATTGTACAGTTTTTACTATAAATGTTTGTATTAGGGATAATATGTTTTGGATAATATTTGCCTATTTGGCGAGCGACGAGACAAGCGACGGCGACGAGGACTCGTTTTCGCCCTGTCAGTCGCGCGAAGAGGCAATCCGCATGAAAGCGACCGGAGCAAGCGACCAAGGCGATGAGCGACGTTTTCTAAAAGTCCTAAAACCGAGCCACGCGCCGAGCGACACTGAGAAATATCCGTCGCTCGTCACTTGTCACCGTCGCTCGACTCGTCGCTCGCTAAATCGCTTACACGCGGTTCAGCCTTAAGTCAAGAAAACAAAAAAAAGGTCAATAATGTAATCCTTCCTACAAAAAAAAAAAAAACTCAATTGCAGCCGTCCCCTGAGATAAGACGACTTCCGCATTGGTGCCAGCAATTTTGACGCCAGCGTAAGCGCAGGCCTTGAGGTGGGCGTCCGAGATTTGCCTTCCAACCACGTTGCCGACGCCAACCCCACCGGAGTACGGTCCTATAAAACACTAAAAACAAAACAATGTCACAATTTACAGACGCAAAAACAGGCCGTCACGGCACCTGAACTTGGCCCTTTCAAACAATATGCACAGTACATCTAAAATTCTTTCTTTATTTCTTTTTAGAAAGGGAGGGGGGGGGGGGCGTATTGTATATCTTGAGTCCTTTTAACAATTCTAGCGGAATTTTATACTCTGTCTGGCAGACTCAGACGTAGTTCAACTACTCTACTCAAACTACTGTAGTTTAACTACTTTTCCAAGTAACTTGGTAACTTTCAATTACAACTTCTTTGGGATAATTAGTAATTTAATTTAACTACATTTTTCGGGTAACTTCTACTCAAATTACTAACTACTTCTGAAATCTAGTGCTAATTTTGCTCACCACAAAAGTTTGAATGCAGAAATAAATAAGGCTCCGGCAGAAGAAGTGGCACTCCCGAACAAGAGACCCCCTCACATAACGTACCCACGCACTTATATACTCGGCAGCCGTAGAAACTGCATCACAGGCGTGACAGCGGCTCCGGAAGCAGGGGGGCAGTGGTGGCGTCCGCCCCCCTTATGTTTTTAGAGCGCAGCTCTTAGGGGCCCGTTCCCGGCTTGAGCGGCGTCGGCGTAACCAAGGTCACCCCAAGGTCACGTGGACCCCAAGGTCACCCCAAGCTCACGTGACCCCCAGAGGTCACGTGACCCCTCCCCCAGGGTCACGTGACCCCCAAGGTCGCGTGACACCCAAAGTCACGTGACCCCCGAGGTCACGTGACCCCCCCGCCGAAGTCACGTGACCCCCCCCCCACCGAGGTCACGTGACCTCCCCGATGACATCGTCACTGATGACGTCACCGGCATCCGCATCGTCATCGCCATCATCACTGATGACGTCATCAGTGACGTCACTGATGACCTCACCGGAATCCGCATCGTCATCGTCATTATCACTGATGACGTCATCAGTTACGTCACTGATGACGTCACTGGCATCCGCATCGTCATCGTCATCATCACGGATTACGTCATCAGTGACGTCACTGATGACGTCACCGACATCCGCATCGTCATCGTCATCATCGCTGATGACGTCATCGGAGTCCGCATCGTCATCGTCACTGATGACGTCATCAGTGACGTCACTGATGACGTCACCGGCATCCGCGTCGTCATCGTCATCATCACGGATGACGTCATCAGTGACGTCACTGATGACATCATCGGCATCGTCACGTGACCCCCCAAGGTTACGTGAACTCCCCAGTTCACTTCACCCCCCCCCCCCCCAGTACACTTCCCTCCTCCTCCTCAAGAGCTGCGCTCTAACTCGGTGTTACAGGGAGTTGTAAACGGCTTTCACTTTCTTTTCACCTCTATTTTTTTCGTAGGGGTCACGCCCCCCCCCCCCCCCCCCCCGACGCTGAAGGCTGACCACGGTGAGGACAGCGCGCTCCTCGCGCAGTGCAGATAAAGTTCGCTTTTCACTCTCTCTCTCACTATGTTTCAAGCGGCGCCGGTAGATGACTCGTCGACCCTGGGCACGGCATAGACGGCTCGTGCCGCCTCATGCTTTACACGCGCAGAGCTCCAGCGAGGTTGTCGAACGTGCATAAAGACCACGGTGTACCGGGGTGTCATGGCAACAAGATAATTTTTTCGCTCTCACACAGTTTCACCGTTTGGCCGCCGGCGACACTGTGAGCCGCGGGCACGGCGGCCGCGGAACAATGCAGTCGTTCGGAAGCCCGTCGGACGAACACTATCTGATTCCTCGCGCCGCGCGTTCATCCCCGCCGTGTCCTCACCTAAAGAGTGTATCTTACACCGTGAGGCTTGACCCACAACCCTCCCTTAAAGGGGTACTCCGCCGATTTTTGAGCTACCTCAACTAACTATATTTTCTGACTCCCCGGCCTTTACCCTTTCTGGTATGCTATTTAGTATCGTGAAATTCATAATAGTTATTGCGAAATCGGCAACTGAAAATCATGCAAAAACAAACATTCAAATATACCCGCCCTTTTCAGGGCCGTGACGTCATTGGAAGTTCAGCTTGCCAGTCGGGCGAGCAGTCTAAAAAATAGAATATGGCAATCATTTGTTCCGGGATGGAGCGCGGGGACTGGAGCGAGCTTCCAAAGCATTCATTTGACACCATGAAACTGCTTCAAATCAGTTGGGAACAAATTCTACAGTCCAAAGAGTGAACCCCTGCACTTCCAATGACGTCACTTTTTCATTGTTGCCAGTAGAGACTTTCAGTTTGAAAAACACGGTGAGGACCAAAATTGTAAATTCAATAACTTCGTGAAAAAAAAATTATTTTGACCTAATATTTGGGATACTATTTTGGCGATGTTGTTTGGCGAGTTTAGCAAAATTTGAAGCAAATCGGGGACCATGAAGAAATCGGCGGAGTTCCCCTTTAATGTAGTCAGAGCAACATGCTACCGCGCCTTCCAAGCTTGAAGCGGAATAAGAAAGGACAGCGACGTTTTGTCGGGAAGAGAATTGGTAGTAAAGCTGATACCCCTGTTAATTGCTGGAGTAAACGTTTCTTCTGAGCCAGCCTTGAGGCGCGCGTATTGGTCACATCTTAATCACTGGCAGCGAGACGGGGACAGCTTAGGAAAGGCACCTTTCTAGCATTCCTTGTCATCGGAAAAAATGGCGGGGAGGAGGCCTCCCTCCGGCTCTGGATAAGCCTCCCCAAACGTAAAACCTCTTGCCGCGGGAAATTGGTCTCTGGCAGAGCGCTTCGACGAACATCATTCCGGAGCATATATCCTTGGAGGGACTGCACACTCTCTTTGACGAGTTTTGCTTGGGATCGGCTCTTTCAAGCTCGGCCATGCCAATACCGTGCCAATTAAGCGCACTGATCCCACAATGGCCGGAGAGGGTTCAGAGCTGGCCTAGCATGGGAGGCGCCCCTTGAAGTTTCTGCACGACGCCTAGACGCGAAAAGCATTTCTGCCATCCGTCAATCATTTTCGTACTTTTGTTTGGTGTGACAGGAGAGGCCACGGAAACGCTCTTGCGTGCTAGAGATTTTGAAGATCTCTTTTTGCTACTCAGAAAAGATTTCGGCTAGACAAAGGTCGCTTCCTCCATTTCGGTTTTTCCGCGCGTACGATCTTCAAAGCTGGGGGGGGGGGGGGGGGGGGGGTAATCTGCACTGCAAGGATGTGAGCCACGACCCCCCGCCCCCCCCCCCACCCCGCCCCCCCCCCCCCCCCCCGATCAGAATTGACTTCCGAAGCCCCTGCAGGCGTCCTTGGGCCAAGGTGGCGACAAGCTGCCAAAGCATAACACCGGCGCGCACGAACGCAGGAAGAGGTGCTTAACAAGTCTTGGTCGGGTATTGACCTAATCCGGTAATGACGCAGGCTCCGCACCTCAAGCTGCAACCGTGAAAGACGGGTACACTCCGAGGGTTTTTTTGTTTTTTTTACGTTGTCTGCCTTTAAGGCCCTGTTACACTGAGGCAACAGTTGGACAACTCTATCCGGCAACACGAGGAAATCGTGTTCCCGGCGACCCCTGTCACATCGCGGCAACAACAACAGTAGGGAAACATGTTGCTGCCGCCCGGCAACCGTGTTGGCCGATTTGTTGTCCGACAACCCTGTCACACCGCGCTGACTGCGGGGACAACAAAGACAACACTCCGCCATCTTGACTGTTTAGCTTCGTTCGTGTGCGGCGCGGAATCGCTGGATATGTGACTCTACAAAGTGCTAGTGCGTTCGAAGGGCCGGAAATTACCACGGTACGACATCAACCAGTGACTGTGATTATAAGACTTGGCACGGGGAGTATTTTCCACTCTTTAGTTTATCAAAATGCTCTTCATTCGCTGACAAAGCAAATAGCCCTAACCGAGGAAAGTGACATTGCTGATATACAAGGTGATTCAAGGAGAGGCCAGGTGCTTTAAATTGAGCGCAAAATTTGGTTTCTTAACCTATCGCGCTACTACTTTGTGCAGCGTTGCCCACAGATGGTGCATTTTTGTTGTAAAATTTCCAAAGAGCGAACTTACCTGAGGAAAAAGTAAAGAAAGAAAACGTCTTAGCTCCTATGGAAACATAGCGACGCCACCGGTCTTCAAACAACACGGCGCCGTTTCGCACGGGAGACAAGAGATGGCGCAACGAACGCCGCCATTGAACGAGCATACGGCGCCGAGATCAGGCGTCTTTAGCAGACGGTATTTTCGACTCAAAAGCGGCGCGCGTTCCATAGGCGGCGACAGTCGCCGAAACAAAAACAGGCAAGGTAAGAACAAGGAACTGCAGTTCCTTGTCTGCTAAAGACGCCGGCTCTCGGCGTCGTATGCTCGTTCGTTGGCTGAAGTTGGCGTCGCGACCGCTTGCGCCATCTCTTGTCTCTCGTGCGAAACGGCGCCGTGTTGTTTGAAGACTGGTGGCTTCGCTGCGTTTTCATAAGAGCTAAGCCTTTGTCTTTCTTTACTTTTTCCTCAGGCTTGTTCGCTCTTTACAAATTTTACAAAAAAAAAATGCACCATCTGTGGGCAACGCTGCACAAAGTTGTAGTGCGATAGGTTAAGAAACCAAATTTTGCGGTCGATTTAAAGAGCCTGGCCTCTCCTTGAATCACCCTGTATATGTTCGGGATTGACGCCACCGTTGAAGTGCTTCTGTCCGATTCTTTCTTTTATGCAATTCCTATTTCTACGGTAAAATTGAGCTGGCACCGGCAGCACCCCAAAGCCTCTTTTGTAGCATGGTGTTGAGCTGAACTGACGGTACTTAAAAACTGCGACACCGACACGATCGCCCTTAATAACAATTGGTTGAATAAATATTTTTCAACGCTGTTTTGCCAACCACCTGCCATGTGATCGCTTCATTCCTCAAAGCGTCCTGGACATTTTTTAAAACAAATCAGGTGTCTGGTAGCGGCTGCTTCAAAGTTCCAATCATCAACAATCATGATCAGAGTGGTCGTTTATATACTTTGATTTTTTAAACTTTCT